TTTTATGCGGATTATTTTTATGCGATTTTGAAGTTGTGCGGTTTGTATTTCATCCAAAAATTTCTTGGACAAACATACATATAGGCTTGTTTAGGAAGCCAGCGTATAGACAGTCTCCAAAAATCGTGGAACGCTCAAAGCTCACTCCATTTGTTCCACTGACATATAACGTTTATGGATGTAAAGGACAGCTAGATCTACCTTAATCGCTTTAGTTCCTAGCAATTTTGATATAAATGTAATTAAACATAAAAAGTACTTAAAACTGAAAAATGAAAAGAAATGCGTTAATTTTGAAGAAAAAGCTTCAAAGTTTAACTTTCTTTGTCTTGCCCTTCTGTGAAATTTAACACCCATGAGTCACTGTTTACACATCTGGATGACCTTGACCACAGCTGGAGTTGGATTTTCCGGGGAATTCTCATAGACGTCGCGGGAGGACAAGGGTTTAAATTAGGGTGAACACTAGCTGGCCGTATATTTTTAAATATTTTTAAAAAATTTGGAGACTTAAAAAACATTTCAATAATTCAAAAAAAATTTCGCGTTACATAAAACGCGAATACGTTACATAACGCGTTACAATAACGCGTTACATAAAAATTTCGCGTTACATAAATATAACGTTACATAAAACACGGCCTTAAAGACCGTGTTTTATGTAACGCTATACAACCTGCCCGAGTTAACTCGGGAGTGGAACTAAAGGTGTTTTAAATTTTAATTAACTCTTCACATTCAGATGCTAGTGATTTGTTTTTAGAGTGAGCTTTTGAAATTCAGGGATTCCCTTTGTATATTACTTTTCAATACAATAAACTGAATTAAGTTTTTAAATACAAGTTTATTTTAAGCTTTTATATGAATTTCTTTCAGACATTCGAAGTAATTTATTAAACAGCCTATTTCTTTTAATTTCTGCAAACTTTTTTATGCGGTTTTAAGTTAATTTTAACTCGTTGTTTTGGTTTTATGTGATTTTAGAAAATTACGGAACGTATCCCTACTTTTTCAAGGCAAGTAAAGTCTTCTTTTATGCGAATTTTTTATATGCGCTTTTCTGTAAAACGTATCCACTGCATAAAACGAGACTTTACAGTATATTATTTAAGATTAAATATTATGAGGATATTATATTACGTGTAGAATTTTATTGTAACGAATGATTAGAATATTTTTATATGAAAAGATGTGGAAAACATTGTTAGCATTTACTTTTTTTTAAATTCTAAATTAATTTTCATTTTCAAACTCGTAATAATTTTTATGTAGTGATATACACTTAGAATTTACTTTTTGTGTCTTAAAATTTGTATGAATTGTCAAAACTGGAAATTGTTTACTGTTATTTTGTTACTTTCCTTAAAATGTCAACTTTTTCTTTAATATTTTAATATTAAAAATATGAAATTTAGAACTGTCATAAACGTTTGTACTTGCTTTGTCACGTTTCAAAAGTTTCCTGCTTTTGAACACAATTTTAAAATTAATTATAAAATAATTTCACAGGCAAGATCGGATATTGTTAATTAATAACTAATAATTTCAGTTTAGAATATTACAAATCCATTTTTATGATCATCCTCATTGAGATTTATTAAGTATAGAATTCAAAAAGGTTGCACATAAAATGGATTTATCACAAGAACATTATTGGAGCCAATCACTTTTTAATAATTTGTGGCATTGTGTAATATGGTGTTTTGGGTATGTTAAAAATATTTAACATGTAATTTTAAAGCTGCCCTCAGCTGATACCATGATATAGTATTGTTTTGGGTGTTGAATTTTCGTTGTTTTATTATTCTTATTTTATTGTTATTGTTGATATTGTTCGGTTTTTAGATGTTTGTGTGAGGCTTGTAAAGTGACTAATGTATTATATACTTTACTTGTGATATAAAATCACCTAACTAGTGATGACTATTTAAGATTAAAAGCGAAAATGCCTTTTATTTTTCAAATATTGCAATAATGCTTTTAATTTTGTGATACCTCTTCAATAGAATTATACACTGATTATTTGAAGAATGTATCACATAATTAATTAGTTTTAGATTACAAATATCCAAGAAAAAACACGAAACTAACTATAAAATATATATGTAGTTCGTTTAGTTCATTGTGAATATAATAACCTTCAAGATTTCTTCACAGATAGATTCAAATATTATAACAAAAAGATTTAAATGAAATAATCGATGTCATTTTCTATCTAAAGAAATGAAAAATGGGAAAAAATTAATCAGTTTTGTGAAATTTGCTCTTTACTCATTTATTATCCAATTTCGAATTAATTTTGTTTAGTGTTTGAAACGCAAAAATAAATATAATAGACAACAACTTGCGTGAAACGTTAATGAAATTAAAAGTTAAAGAAATAAAAAATACTTTTATTATCTTGTGTTGGCAGAATAACGATGAAACGAATGATTGTTTGTATATCATAGAATTTTCTGTTGTCTTCTTTCTTGATGATTAACTCTCAATTATATCTCATTTTGATGAACTTTAAGCGGTAATTTTTGTCTAAAATTTGTTTTTCTTTTGTAAAAAAATGATTAAATATTAATATGTCGCAATTGTTTTCAAAACCATTTTTATTAATTCATACGATAATTGATTTTTAAAAGAAAATTTGCTGTTCATTTCTGTCGGAAAGTAAATATAAATGAGAAAAATTAAGGTGGTTTTCTTGACTTTTAGATAAGTAAAAATTTTTCATAATACACATATACTAATGTTAAACATAAGAATTAATTATTAATTAAGTGATTGATTACTGACTTTTAAAAACAAATAATATAAGAATTATCAAACAAACACCCACATTACTTTATTAGGCTTTACTCTATATTTATACCTTAAATAAAATAGTAAGAAAACTTCTGCTTCATTATGATAAGTAGATTCCCTTTTCCATCAAGTTTACCTTCTTCAAAAAGTCAGATATGGCACTAGCATAGCGAGGGGGCAAGGGGATCATGCCCCAGACAGAGGGATTCCAAATTGTCTTTAATTCAAACAAGATTTGCTTTTGGAGGGGGAGGGGGCACCAAGAAAGTATCGTGCGTGGGGCGCCACTTATGTTCGCTACGCCACTACATATAGTCCAATAAAGCAATCGGTTGTTCGTTTGATATTTGGATTAATTATCGGGTGGTTCAATATGTTATACCTGAAATTCCATTTCAGATGCAAATCCAATAAGATGTTGAAAATACAAAATTATTATTATTCCATAATTTAATACAAGTCCAATTTGGCTTCCTGCGTCATCTAAAGCAACAAGTATATATTCAATGTTACTTTTATTATAGATTGTAGACATTTAAATATATTTACCCACCTGCATTATTGGAAACACTAAAAATAATAACAGTAATAATTAGATTTATGAAACAAATTACATGACCATATATGGCAATCCATCGATTTAACGCCACGTAAAGAAACCATGTTGCAGTGTGCTTATCCTGATACTTATTAAATATAAATTTAAATTTGGTTTCGGCATTAAATGCTCTAATTGTCGTCAGTCCATAAAGGGATGCACTCAGATGAGAAAATATTGGACTTCTCACTGTAAAAAAAATTTGTATACAGTATATATTACAAATATTTTGCAAAGTTTCTATTACACAATTTAATTATTTTATTTTTTAAATATAATAATTATTAACTTATACATTTAAGAAAACACTGGAAATTATCTACCTATATCTAACAAACTACTAATCAGAATTGAATGGAACTAAATATAAAAGTAGAACTTTATAGTATTTATGCAAAAAACAACTGAAAAAGGCAACATTTCTTTAAATTATCTCAAACAAAAGCAACAAAAAAGTAGTCAACATTGTCCTAAATTTCGTATTGCAGAAAAAATTGACCAATATGTCATGTGGATGATTTTTGCGTGCACATACTTCACAGTGACTACTCATGCTAGTTAACAAAACGACAAAGAGCATTATAGGAGAAAAGTGTATTTGTGATCAACAGTATATTGCAGTTGCTAAAGTGTTCTTGGTAATGAGTTGTCAGCTGCAGCATTCTATTATTTTATGAATTTCAATTTGTAGATGATTCTATGTAAGTAGTAGTAATTCGATACACTTTGGGGTATATTCTATTTTACGCATAAAAATTATATATTAATCTTCAAATTTATTTAATTTTTTTCTTTGAATTTTTTCTATTATATCATCAGAGACGTTACAAAATATCAAGAAGCAGATAATTTTTTCAATCAATGTGTTATCTACAAATTTTATTTTGTATTTTTTTTTTCTTCTTAGAATTGATTTAATTTTGCTGCCATATAATCAAGAACATTACAAATATCATAAAGGTATCAGAAATTACACAACCGATGAAATTTTGCACAGTACTTGATGGGCTTAAAAAAGCCTATCAAATACTTTGCCATTCTTTTGGATCGAAAAATGTAAAGTGAAGTAATTTTGACTTGCTGTAATACTTCTCAATTGGAACATCAGTACTATAAGCAGTAGTATCTGAGATAATTTACCTTTTGTTTTTAGAGATAGGGAAATTCACAAATGCGAGATGAAATAGCCCATGTTCGTTTATTCATATAAGCAAACATTTCTTGAAGCTGACAGTGTCTTCTAAGTATTGTTCTGTATTGCTTGTTAGAAGACATCTTGTTTACTTCACACTTTTAGAGAACTTACTTTTTTGTCCATAAAACATTGAAATTTTAACTTATAATGGCATTTGCATTTCCATAGATCTTCAGTTTACAAAGCAATTTCTCACTACAATGTGATGTGCTGCTTTTAAGGTTTCATTTTTTTGTTGAAATCAAATGTTTTGAAAAATTCTAAAGTGAATTGGTGTTTAGTGTTCGATTTCAACGCTTAAAGTAATGATTTAAGCCTTAAAATAAATTTACTGTATTCCTAATTAATTCAATTGTCCTTCCTTAAAGAGCAACTTAATTTCAAGCTTAGTATATTTGTAGTATATACAAAAAATCGTTTGTCTTTTGGAAAATTACACATTTGTACAGATTATTTTTAAAAAATTATTATATTCAAACTCGCAGAAATTCCTATAACTTGATATACATTTTTCTGTAAATACATTAAATCTGTTTATTTAAGTCAAAGATAATCTATTGTTTTGAGCCTAGTCCAAAATAATGTGGAAAATAACCTGAAATTGTGTAATTACATACAGTACTTATATTAAAATAAAGTTTTAAATTGACTTCAAGTAAGTACACAGCTTAGAAATTACACATTTTTAATTATTGTAAAATTTGTCATAAATATTTTAAAACTGGAACTGTAATTTAACCTGTTTTCTTTTTTAATATAAGTGATTGTCTGGCATTTGGCAATAATAAAAATAAATCACTAGATTTAATAATCACCAAGAAATACAGTTCTGAAACAAGTAAAACTTTTTTCTTATGTAGAGAATCAATACATCTTTTGTCACATGATTCTTGAAGAATTTCTTTAGCTTATGAAATAAAATAACTGTTTTGATTCTTTGCCTTGTAACTCAGCATCTTAGGACAGAGTTTTCACGGAGTATTATAACCTGTTGATTTCATCACCAATAATCTGCATGAGATTAAGTTCATTACAATAAACGCTTCAATATTCGAAATACTTACATTTTCCTTCCAAATGTTTTACACTTTTCAACACTCGGCTAAAAATTCTCCACAAAGCATAGAATACTGTTGAAAGGACAGCAATCAATACCAGTAGATAAGGACAGAGGATTGCTTGAAGAACACACATGCCAACAAAAATAGAGCATCCCTAAAATTAAAGAATATAAATTGTTAATAAATAATTCGAGATGTCAAAATTTAGATTTTGTAAGTAAACTAATTTTACTACTCCATTTAAGTGTTATCTCTTTGTTAAGTAATACATACATGTGTCTCATAGGTCTGAAACTATAATTGTTATGTAAATATCTGTTTTAGCATAGCATGGGAATAAATAAAAAAATTAATTAAAATCATTTTATGTGTGTATCAATCAGTGTGAAATTGAACTTTTTATATATATATTTTTTACCTGTGTATATCGTTTATCTTGTGGAATTTTTCCTGTACTTTGTAACAATAAATAAAGAAATGAAAAATGTCACTAGCTGCATCCAGACCACAATGTGAGATTATCAGGATCGTTTTTAATTAATATAAAATATTATTAAAATATTTTATTATTGAGGAGAGAATTTTAACACAAATGATGTACATTTTTCGTTTCCAAAAAAGGAGGAAACGAACTTATTTTCTGTTACTGTCTAGAGCTACTGATTGTTCCATGCAGATAAGTCAGCTGTCCTTATAAAAAGAGTTAGATTTCCCGCCATTGTGCGCCATTCCCCGATGTAGGACGTGCCACATAATAATTTCGGAGTTTCCTGAAGATAAGAACTGGTCCCATAAGCGTCAATCTCCATATGGACTAAAGATCGCCTCCCATGATATCGAAGATCCCATATAAAAGACATTTCGAGACGCATAGAAGATTAACTATCCGATCCACATTATAGAAGACTACGAATACGAACACTACTTAAGTTGGAGGAAGTATAATTTTTTGTGAATGTAAACTCTCTCTGTCACGCGAGTTAGAAGCATTAAACTTGTAATCCTTTTTTTATTCCATTTGTTTTTATTAAATATTTTGTTATGTTGTAATATGGTCTTATTAATGACTAAATCCAAAGCCTTCGTCCACTCCACGTATTTGCGTCCCTCCCACTCAAGATTCCTCGAAATTGCGTGATAGTCTGCAATCTTGACTATCTGGTGTTGGGAATCCTGACGTATGACATAGATGATTATGAAATCATCTCTCTCCGCATTCTTTCAATCCTACATAGCCATCCATTTTGACGACTGCGGACCTGTTTCTCCAACAGGTCAGCCGATTAAGTGGCATACGAGTGCTTCCAAAGCTCCAGCCCCTCACAACAGTATCTTTATTAAAAGGACGAAAATATATACAGTGCATTAAATCTTTAACAAATTTTCACCCATTGTGGGTTTTGGAAGTAAAAATTATTCTAAAATCAGTATTATAATAATATATTTTTTATTGATTTCATGTTCTTTCAGAAATAATAAATAGACAATGATCAATGTAATTCCTATAGTTTCAGACTCATGATACATTTTATATATTTCTTTTACAAAATATATAAAACGATCTGTAATGAAAGTTTTCTGACTTGAGTAAAAATATGAAGCAATTAATTAAAATATAGAAATCTGTTAAGAAAACTCTTGCAAAATTGTATATACAATATATCCCTGCTAACTACTAATAGGATGAAGTATTTTTGTGTTTAGGAAAGGCCAAGTTTGTGTGGTGTTCGAACAACGCTAAAGTGAAAAAAGTTGATATAGAATGTGTTTACTTTTATCATCAGCTGTACACAGAAATTTCAGCTGACCTGAAATCATCGTTGAATTTATCATAATAGGAAATGAGCTGAAAAAACTTTTACGACAGTAGGATGTACAGAAATGTGCAGTAATATAATGCAGGATATCCCAAAAGAAAACACTGGATAATTGTAATTTCTTTATTCTCAAAAAATTGAAAATTAATGTTTGATAAAATTTGTCAGAATTTTGTAGCGTCCATTTAATGTATTCAGATTTTCATTTGATTGTCATAATAAATATTTTAATTACAAAATTTCCGAGGTTTAAATAATTCTTTTCTACTTTTCTTGCCTTATAGAAACTATGGGGCTTTCTAATTAAGTCCATTTCAGAAAATTCCTGGGATTTCTAATCTCCGGATTTGCTCCCAAGTTTCCAAGATGTAAAATCGAAACATTAATCACTCTGTCACTTGGCCATTATCCAAATGAAAATTATACGATTTTGACTATTTTTATAATCACTCACGCATATAAGAGAATTGTGTGGTTACTGCGATACATTTGCTCAGCACATAGCAGTGGCATACAGTGACATTTCATGATAGGGAAGCTATAATTTTCATATTTTAGAACAGCAGTTCTTAACCTTTTTAGTGGTCAGTACCCCATGATTCTGAAAATAAGCTCTTTCACCCCCTTAAAAAATATGGTATAATTTTTTTATTTAAGATAAAACATTTACTGCATAAACAAATGCCGTGTTAATTTACAATATATATATTACTATATAACAAAAAGCAATATTTAAATTTAAATGGCTAGTTTGTTGTTGTTTATTCATAATAATTTTATTAAAACGAGGCTTTTTTGAATGAGCCACGTGTAAGTCATCGCATGCATTTAAGCAATTTATGGCTTTTGTTTTGATGTGCAAAAGTGCTGTATTCAAGGTATGCAAACACGTCTCAACTAGTTTTTGTACTGCACATGACAATGTGACTACATTAACTGCATGTACTGACGACTGATGACAAGTGATATGTGCTGAGAGATGATAGAGTAGAGAGTGTAGAATTGAGACGGTAGGAAATGGAGTGGGGTGCCGTGTGGCTGGGTCCCACGGTTTGTAAAGAACACGTCCCCTCGTTCGTATTTTTTTTCTTTTAAAATTTTGAAATTCCTCTCGCACTCCTGGAAATGCTCTCTCGCACCCCAGATTAAGAACCATTGTTTTAGAGGGTTGCAGTTCTGTTCTTGAAATAGTCTTGTAAGGTGTAAAAAATATTGGCTAGACATTTAATGGTAAAGAACTGTACTAGACCAAGAGCCACAAAGCATTGTCAAATGCACCAGATGTGTATAAACTTCAGTAGTGTGTGGTGACATTTGATAATAGGAAAGTTTGCTGGCTCTAGAAAAAATCATTAGAAGCGTTATACGATATATTTGTGTGTAGCATCCATGAGTTTAACCACACGAGGTTGGTGCTTTGTAAAGTGCATGCGTGAATGTGTATAATCTGGTTGCTTTACACGATTCAAATATTTTTGTTTTGGAAGCTGCCCCATAATTCGACAATACAGCACTGCCATTGGGATTATTCATATAAAAATTTATATTTAAATATGCAGGATGATTCAAAAGTCACAAAAATTTTTAAAAATTAATATCTCACAAACTATTCACAGTAAGATGATGTGGTTATTCACAGTAATGCTTAGAATCAAGTGAGATCTTTTAAGTGTAATAAAAATTTTAGTATTATAACAGTTAAATTTGTTGCCGTAGATGGTGATTGATAAGATTACATAATTTCTGCAGTTGTTACTAGACTTTACAAAAATAATATTTTTATTTTTTTATTCTTATTTTAACTCCTTATGCCCAATTCTTTAATGCCTAATGGAACATGGAAATCTCCTAAGTAAATTTATTTTTTATATTAAATAATTATTTCCACTCAAATGCGAATTTGACAGTAAAAAAACTGCCGAGAAATAAACACCCCCAAAAAGTGGTTTTACAGGAAAACTATATAAAAAAATTTAAAGTAATTTAAAATGAATGGTTTTATTTGAAAAATATAGCGGCACGAATTGTTATGCTTTCATTTAATTAACAAGGCATGAAATTTCATGTGCAGTCTACATTGTAAACAAACCAGTTGACCTTGAGAACAGCTGGAGTCAGCTTTCCTGGGTAGTTCTCATGTACGCTTCAGGGGAATGTTGGTATAAATCTGGAGGAAAGCTAACTTACTGCATCTGTTCAAATATAACACAATAACTTATCACACAATACCTATATTTGCTAAGATAGTTTTATTGAAAAACTAACGTGTTTGGCAGTGGCGTAGCGTGGGTGTCAGCCGCCTGGGGCAAAGGAAAATTTCGCTGTTCCCTTTTTTAGGTATCTCAATTTAAAGGACTAAAATTCAGTTTCGTCACAGAATAAGTAATGAAAAATTCCGTGCTAGTGTTGCCACCTTTTTAAAATCGCTGACCCGGACGGCAGGTGAAGTTTGTTCGAACAGAAGTTTCTGACGCATGCGTGTGTCATTTTGCAATGCGAAGAGTAATGTGCAGTGCATGCCGGTTCTAAATCAGTTATAGTTAACGATTAGGGAGTCTTGGGTGGGAGTAACGTAAGTAACCCAGATGACTGAACTCTATTGGATATTAGAAGTGTATATGAATATGAATGAATCGTACAAGCAAAAAACAAAGAAAGGGTCGAACAGGTTATGCACGATGCCCCAGGTAGAATTAGTAGTTCACCCAGATGGTAAGTCGATTCCCGGACTGTCCGGATGGTAACACTATTCCATGCTCATTTCAATCGGTCCGAATCGTAGGTGCAACAGAAATATAAATTAAAATGGCTCAAATTTTTACAAGATATTATTATTTATTGTGAATTTTTGCTGCCCCTAAAATGTGCCTCCCAGGGCGGGCCGCCCCTGCCGCCTCCACTACTCTATGCTACCGGTTTTTGGCTTACTCCATAAGCCTCCTCAGGCTTAACGGAATATAACACAATATTTTCAATTTTTATGCGATTAAAATATGAGGGGACCAAAAAAGGTATGGAAAATAAATTTTTCTGAACAAGAAACAAAAATCCTGCTGATGTCATAAAAAACATCCAATAGCATTTTAAAATTTTTTATGGAAGTCAAATGGATCAAATAGAAGTTTGGAATGATTTAATTAATTTTATTAAAAAACTCCTATAAAAACAAGAGCACAATTAATTACCTAATTAAAAAATCGTCATTAAATATTTTCGCAGCCAAAATAATTCATGAAATTTGCAGAGATCATAGATAACGATGTATATATGCTGATACATAGGTTTTGGAAATGTTATATGCCAAAGCCCTTTTTCAGGACCTTAAAGCCTATTCCCGAGATAACTCGGGTAAAGGACTGCGCATCCTCAAGTGCAGCCCGCGATATCTCGGATTAAGGTCTTAACAGTTTTTTTTAAACAAATTACAAATGCTTTTAGATTCATACACAACGATCCATAGCAAGAAATGTAACTATTTTGGTACTAAAATTTTTATTACATATAAAAACTTCCGCTTTATTCTATGCATTTCTGTGAAAACCGCATCAACTTACTGTAAATAGGTTGCTTGTTATTAAGTTTTTAAAATTTATTTGACTTTTGAATCGCCTTGTAAAATAGCAATCTTATCATCTTTTTGCATGTAGTATAGAAATTTGTAATAAGATACATAATGTGGTTAAAACAAAATATTATTATTAATTAATTAAAAGTACGTTAAAATATGAAAATAATCACACAGTACCTATTTCTATTTTAGAAAATACAAGGAAATCGGCGCTTCCACAGCTCCCATGGACAGCATGCCACTTTCACATAGTATATGTAGCACTGATCAGGTTGAGTCACACATGTTGTGTAGACGTACTGTACAGTTGTACTATATAAGTGAACTGTGTTGGGATTAGTTGTGCGCGTGCAGTGACAATCCCAACATGTTTGTTTCCATTAAAATATAAGCCAAATTAAAGTGCGAACGATTGTTCGAGTTTGGCATGAAATTAAAGAAGACTTTACAGAAATTTGCCGAAAATAAACAAACAAGTTGACAAAAACAGTAAAACTCTTAGAAGATAATGTAATCTTACAAACCACAAAACAGGTGATGGCCCACCTTCAGAAACGCTTATGAGACATTTTTGTCCATTTACCGAAATGTCGGGGTCGGGTCTTGTTCTTGCCTATTTTTGCAATTGTTTAGGCTATTGCAATGTCAGTTGATGGATGAAAGGTTTGATAACAATGACGAAGTTCAAAAAGATGTAAGGCAAACTTTACAGAAATAGCGCACTTTTTATTCAAGAGAACACACAAAAACTTGTTTATTTAAGATGAAAGATGAAATGAAAATTATAGAAAATGAGATAAGACTTGGAATGAAATACAGTTCCAAGACGAAGGCAATTACAACAACCCAAGTAAAAAAGGTGGATCATGACGATGTTGAGATGGATGTGTGGTGTAATCAAGTATAGAATTAGAAATAATTACTTCAGAAAAACAGTCAAATTGAGCCCTATAAATCAGAAGATACAACAAAGAAGAAAAAAAAACAGAAACACTTGGTTGTCACTGACATAAGTCATAAGTACTGTACCTGAAAAAGCGGTGTTTATGTTAAAAAAATGAGTTTATAGTGCTTATTTCACTTCTTGTATGTTACACTTGTGTAAACAAAACAGCGTGTCTTTGATTCAAAAAGACGCCTTTGTAACTGGCCACTTCACTTAAATATTTAGTATTTTTTATAATTTATTCTATATAAGTCTATAAATTCAAAATTAACTTACTCTTATCAGAAAGAAAGTAAAGAAAGGTAACGATTCATCCATGGAACTAACATCTTTAGAAAACCGAATTAAGATTTTTCCTAGAAAATATACAAACGAAAAATATTAATTAAAGTAAATANAAAAAAAATTTGTATACAGTATATATTACAAATATTTTGCAAAGTTTCTATTACACAATTTAATTATTTTATTTTTTAAATATAATAATTATTAACTTATACATTTAAGAAAACACTGGAAATTATCTACTTATATCTAACAAACTACTAATCAGAATTGAATGGAACTAAATATAAAAGTAGAACTTTATAGTATTTATGCAAAAAACAACTGAAAAAGGCAACATTTCTTTAAATTATCTCAAACAAAAGCAACAAAAAAGTAGTCAACATTGTCCTAAATTTCGTATTGCAGAAAAAATTGACCAATATGTCATGTGGATGATTTTTGCGTGCACATACTTCACAGTGACTACTCATGCTAGTTAACAAAACGACAAAGAGCATTATAGGAGAAAAGTGTATTTGTGATCAACAGTATATTGCAGTTGCTAAAGTGTTCTTGGTAATGAGTTGTCAGCTGCAGCATTCTATTATTTTATGAATTTCAATTTGTAGATGATTCTATGTAAGTAGTAGTAATTCGATACACTTTGGGGTATATTCTATTTTACGCATAAAAATTATATATTAATCTTCAAATTTATTTAATTTTTTTCTTTGAATTTTTTCTATTATATCATCAGAGACGTTACAAAATATCAAGAAGCAGATAATTTTTTCAATCAATGTGTTATCTACAAATTTTATTTTGTATTTTTTTTTTCTTCTTAGAATTGATTTAATTTTGCTGCCATATAATCAAGAACATTACAAATATCATAAAGGTATCAGAAATTACACAACCGATGAAATTTTGCACAGTACTTGATGGGCTTAAAAAAGCCTATCAAATACTTTGCCATTCTTTTGGATCGAAAAATGTAAAGTGAAGTAATTTTGACTTGCTGTAATACTTCTCAATTGGAACATCAGTACTATAAGCAGTAGTATCTGAGATAATTTACCTTTTGTTTTTAGAGATAGGGAAATTCACAAATGCGAGATGAAATAGCCCATGTTCGTTTATTCATATAAGCAAACATTTCTTGAAGCTGACAGTGTCTTCTAAGTATTGTTCTGTATTGCTTGTTAGAAGACATCTTGTTTACTTCACACTTTTAGAGAACTTACTTTTTTGTCCATAAAACATTGAAATTTTAACTTATAATGGCATTTGCATTTCCATAGATCTTCAGTTTACAAAGCAATTTCTCACTACAATGTGATGTGCTGCTTTTAAGGTTTCATTTTTTTGTTGAAATCAAATGTTTTGAAAAATTCTAAAGTGAATTGGTGTTTAGTGTTCGATTTCAACGCTTAAAGTAATGTTTTAAGCCTTAAAATAAATTTACTGTATTCCTAATTAATTCAATTGTCCTTCCTTAAAGAGCAACTTAATTTCAAGCTTAGTATATTTGTAGTATATACAAAAAATCGTTTGTCTTTTGGAAAATTACACATTTGTACAGATTATTTTTAAAAAATTATTATATTCAAACTCGCAGAAATTCCTATAACTTGATATACATTTTTCTGTAAATACATTAAATCTGTTTATTTAAGTCAAAGATAATCTATTGTTTTGAGCCTAGTCCAAAATAATGTGGAAAATAACCTGAAATTGTGTAATTACATACAGTACTTATATTAAAATAAAGTTTTAAATTGACTTCAAGTAAGTACACAGCTTAGAAATTACACATTTTTAATTATTGTAAAATTTGTCATAAATATTTTAAAACTGGAACTGTAATTTAACCTGTTTTCTTTTTTAATATAAGTGATTGTCTGGCATTTGGCAATAATAAAAATAAATCACTAGATTTAATAATCACCAAGAAATACAGTTCTGAAACAAGTAAAACTTTTTTCTTATGTAGAGAATCAATACATCTTTTGTCACATGATTCTTGAAGAATTTCTTTAGCTTATGAAATAAAATAACTGTTTTGATTCTTTGCCTTGTAACTCAGCATCTTAGGACAGAGTTTTCACGGAGTATTATAACCTGTTGATTTCATCACCAATAATCTGCATGAGATTAAGTTCATTACAATAAACGCTTCAATATTCGAAATACTTACATTTTCCTTCCAAATGTTTTACACTTTTCAACACTCGGCTAAAAATTCTCCACAAAGCATAGAATACTGTTGAAAGGACAGCAATCAATACCAGTAGATAAGGACAGAGGATTGCTTGAAGAACACACATGCCAACAAAAATAGAGCATCCCTAAAATTAAAGAATATAAATTGTTAATAAATAATTCGAGATGTCAAAATTTAGATTTTGTAAGTAAACTAATTTTACTACTCCATTTAAGTGTTATCTCTTTGTTAAGTAATACATACATGTGTCTCATAGGTCTGAAACTATAATTGTTATGTAAATATCTGTTTTAGCATAGCATGGGAATAAATAAAAAAATTAATTAAAATCATTTTATGTGTGAATCAATCAGTGTGAAATTGAACTTTTTATATATATATTTTTTACCTGTGTATATCGTTTTTCTTGTGGAATTTTTCCTGTACTTTGTAACAATAAATAAAGAAATGAAAAATGTCACTAGCTGCATCCAGACCACAATGTGAGATTATCAGGATCGTTTTTAATTAATATAAAATATTATTAAAATATTTTATTATTGAGGAGAGAATTTTAACACAAATGATGTACATTTTTCGTTTCCAAAAAAGGAGGAAACGAACTTATTTTCTGTTACTGTCTAGAGCTACTGATTGTTCCATGCAGATAAGTCAGCTGTCCTTATAAAAAGAGTTAGATTTCCCGCCATTGTGCGCCATTCCCCGATGTAGGACGTGCCACATAATAATTTCGGAGTTTCCTGAAGATAAGAACTGGTCCCATAAGCGTCAATCTCCATATAGACTAAAGATCGCCTCCCATGATATCGAAGATCCCATATAAAAGACATTTCGAGACGCATAGAAGATTAACTATCCGATCCACATTATAGAAGACTACGAATACGAACACTACTTAAGTTGGAGGAAGTATAATTTTTTGTGAATGTAAACTCTCTCTGTCACGCGAGTTAGAAGCATTAAACTTGTAATCCTTTTTTTATTCCATTTGTTTTTATTAAATATTTTGTTATGTTGTAATATGGTCTTATTAATGACTAAATCCAAAGCCTTCGTCCACTCCACGTATTTGCGTCCCTCCCACTCAAGATTCCTCGAAATTGCGTGATAGTCTGCAATCTTGACTATCTGGTGTTGGGAATCCTGACGTATGACATAGATGATTATGAAATCATCTCTCTCCGCATTCTTTCAATCCTACATAGCCATCCATTTTGACGACTGCGGACCTGTTTCTCCAACAGGTCAGCCGATTAAGTGGCATACGAGTGCTTCCAAAGCTCCAGCCCCTCACAACAGTATCTTTATTAAAAGGACGAAAATATATACAGTGCATTAAATCTTTAACAAATTTTCACCCATTGTGGGTTTTGGAAGTAAAAATTATTCTAAAATCAGTATTATAATAATATATTTTTTATTGATTTCATGTTCTTTCAGAAATAATAAATAGACAATGATCAATGTAATTCCTATAGTTTCAGACTCATGATACATTTTATATATTTCTTTTACAAAATATATAAAACGATCTGTAATGAAAGTTTTCTGACTTGAGTAAAAATATGAAGCAATTAATTAAAATATAGAAATCTGTTAAGAAAACTCTTGCAAAATTGTATATACAATATATCCCTGCTAACTACTAATAGGATGAAGTATTTTTGTGTTTAGGAAAGGCCAAGTTTGTGTGGTGTTCGAACAACGCTAAAGTGAAAAAAGTTGATATAGAATGTGTTTACTTTTATCATCAGCTGTACACAGAAATTTCAGCTGACCTGAAATCATCGTTGAATTTATCATAATAGGAAATGAGCTGAAAAAACTTTTACGACAGTAGGATGTACAGAAATGTGCAGTAATATAATGCAGGATATCCCAAAAGAAAACACTGGATAATTGTAATTTCTTTATTCTCAAAAAATTGAAAATTAATGTTTGATAAAATTTGTCAGAATTTTGTAGCGTCCATTTAATGTATTCAGATTTTCATTTGATTGTCATAATAAATATTTTAATTACAAAATTTCCGAGGTTTAAATAATTCTTTTCTACTTTTTTTGCCTTATAGAAACTATGGGGCTTTCTAATTAAGTCCATTTCAGAAAATTCCTGGGATTTCTAATCTCCGGATTTGCTCCCAAGTTTCCAAGATGTAAGGTTGAAACATTAATCACTCTGTCACTTGGCCATTATCCAAATGAAATTATACGATTTTGACTATTTTTATAATCACTCACGCATATAAGAGAATTGTCTGGTTACAGCGATACATTTGCTCAGCACATAGCAGTGGCGTACAGTGACATTTCATGATAGGGAAGCTATAATTTTCATATTTTAGAACAGCAGTTCTTAACCTTTTTAGTGGTCAGTACCTCATGAATCTGAAAATAAGCTCTTTCACCCCCTTAAAAATGTGTGTATAATTTTTTTATTTAAGATAAAACATTTACTGCATAAACAAATGCCGTGTTAATTTACAATATATATATTACTATATAACAAAAAGCAATATTTAAATTTAAATGGCTAGTTTGTTGTTGTTTATTCATAATAATTTTATTAAAACGAGGCTTTTTTGAATGAGCCACGTGTAAGTCATCGCATGCATTTAAGCAATTTATGGCTTTTGTTTTGATGTGCAAAAGTGCTGTATTCAAGGTATGCAAACACGTCTCAACTAGTTTTTGTACTGCACATGACAATGTGACTACATTAACTGCATGTACTGACGACTGATGACAAGTGATATGTGCTGAGAGATGATAGAGTAGAGAGTGTAGAATTGAGACGGTAGGAAATGAAGGAGTGGGGTGCCGTGTGGCTGGGTCCCATGGTTTGTAGAGAACACGTCCCCTCGTT